GGGTGAGACAGGAATGTGTGAGTTGCTGTGGGCATTAGACTGCAAGGATGCAGCTTCCCAGTTCATACCAGAGTTCATCTGTTTATGTATGTTCTTGCACAGAGGAGGTACTCAATGGCACAGCAAAAGTGCCATCTCAACAGCACAAAATGCCTTTTTTAGTATTGTTTCAAATATTTACCCTTTCAGTAAATAAAAACGGTCTGAACTGCACAACAGTTGATACAGAATAAGTTTCTGCTTCTTTTAGCTACTACTAGTACAGTTCAGCACAGTTAAGAAAGCAAAATATATTTGGAAGCATAAAAGCAGCCATCCTGGGTTAGACCAAAGATTTTTTCAGTGTCATATTTCCAAAGGTGGCCGTAAGTGAATGCCTGAAGGAGCAGTAAGAACAGGGTAGGCGTATATGACATTGTCTGCTGATATTCTCCCAGCTAGCAGCTATGTTTAGCTCTTTGTGTGTTTAGTAACCCACAGCTGGATTCTTGTACAATTTCCCCTAAAGGAAGTGTGAAAAGAGAATTTGTCAAATGTGTGCATGGTTTTCTTTGTTTTGGAAAGGATCAACTCTCCTCCATTTAATATCTATGTAGGAGTTTTGTGTTCAGCCCTCATTATGAACGCACACTCTAATTTTTCTCAGTTCTAGCTTAAGAGGTGAGCTGCGTAAACAATACGTTCACCTGCCTTCTGTCTTGTATGGAAATTTCCAATCTGTCCCTTGCCTTTCAGCAGTGCACAGTGCTGCTTCCTGTCACGGAGCCAGCAGAACTGGTGGATGAATCTGAAACTTGCATTGTATTCAGATGCTTGGGGTCTTGAAGCCCTACATCCTACACGCCCCCATCAAATTGTTTTATTGCTTCTAAAATACAGCATATCAGATTTTTTTTCATTACTGCCCCTATGCCATTGCAAGCATTATTTTATACATTCCCTATTCCCTGGCGCAAAACACAAGTTCATAGCAGCTCACTTGATATGCATGCAGATGTGAATTTCAACCAGAAAAAGATCATCAGATCATCACTTAGATAACAAATATGTTTTAACTTTCCGAACATATTAGTCATAGAAACCTTCTACACAACTGCATTATATACTTCTATAGAAGTTGTGTTTTATGTGCTTTTAGGTTATGATCAATTTTAAGCAGAACCAGCCATGCCCTTTTGTTTTTTTTTTTTGCTTTAATCTTATTTGTTATCATCCCTTCCAAGTGAAAATGGAGTGGCTTTTTTAAGTAAACAAAACAGCAAACTCAGTAGATAGACAAGGGCGTTGTGGAACATTGTGTCATGACTGTAAAGGCTTGCTGTGTCCAAGTAATGACTGTTTTACTGATGGATAATTGGATCTAGGTTGTGTTGCTGTTGGCTTTAGATATTTTTATATGGTTTTTTTTTTGAAGTGATTTATTATAATCTTGAACTTGTAAACTTGTGCTTATTGAAGCTGACTCTGAAGACTCTTCTGACTGTCAGATTATGCATATGATTACTGTTAGTGTTTGAAGAAAACTTTAGGGTTGAACAACCATTTCCTTCAAGCATGAAAACTGAAGGTTTACATAGAATTGTATTTATTTATTTTCTGTAAAACAGTGGCTGTGCCTGTGCATTCTTCTACACCGAAAAATGTAAGAAGCACGATAATTGGAAAATATTGGAAGGCTATTAATGATGATGATAATAGTATAGTGCCCTGCAATTCATACAGACATAGTCAGAATGTGCACTGCCCAACTTTAAAGTCAATTAAATGGACAATATAGGCCATACTGGGAGAAGAGATGTTCACAGGTGAGGGACTGAGGTGCAGCATCCTGATCGTGCTGAAATGGGCAGCTCTTTTGTGAGTGATATAAGTGGGACTTAGGATTTCATTAGGTAAGACTGAATGGCCCAAGGATTAAAATATGGTCTTGAAATCCCAGTCTAATGCTGAGTCCCAGTTTAGATGTAAATCTATATTTCATCAAATAAAATAAAATGTAAAAAAAAAATCTATCAACTTTCTCAGGGCATCATCAATCATCTTTTTAAGCAACCACTGTCAATACTAGAACAAGCTTTGCGTGGATGGGCTAAGGAAAATGCCAAAAAGCAGCTTCTGGCAGACTGAAAGGGAAAGTGAATTCTTAAATCAGGGGCTATTTGTAGCCCATTTAAACTTAGAATATGTTTGTTTGAGTGTCTCTGAGTACGTTACAAGTTCATCTCAATTTGACATAAGCTTTTTGAAAATGGCTTTAATATTAAGTAGATTCATGAATGCATAAACTTTAATGGATAAAACATGATCTTTCTACAGAGGAGTTTCAACTGTAACTAAAAATGGATGCATTTCATCTTATTATCTGCAAGTTGTGAATAAATTTGTCACAGGTAGCCTGAGCTGTTTGAAATAATAAGAGTGACTTGTGAGATCAGTAAGCCTCTTCCAGAGTCTGGCTTAAGTGGTCTGTGAGCTGTACATAATAAAAACAGTGACACTTAGAAACATACACTGTTGAAAAGGCCTTGTCTAATTGAAATTTGAGAGCCTGGGCAAAGTAGATACGCAGAACCAAGTATTTATAAAGAAACTAAATGAACTGAAACCAAAGTTTTAATGGAAGATAAAGTGCATTAAAATCTGATCAGCCGAAGCTTCCGGCACAAAGAAGTGATCAACTCCACTTTTACCGTGTTACTAAAAACTGAACAGAAAACGTGAATTTTCATTTTGTGGATTCCTTCATTCTGAAGTTTTGGTTGACTGCCATTTTGAAGCAGAGAAAGAGCTTAGGAGCCCTTTGTGGAACATAATTATCATTGGCACTCCCCTAACACCACTGGGAGCCTTGACTCCGAGGGTGTCCCTCTGGCAGGCTGCCTTGGAGCCACAGGAACCTCAGGAGACCTCATCTTGAGCAGAGTAGTTAAGGCAGAGCAGACATTCCCAACGGGACATCCTGGAGCCAGAAGTTAGGAGGGACAAGGTTGCCAGGAACCTGAGAAGAAACAAGAAAATATGTCAGATGTGCTGCTTTTTTTTTTTTTAAATTCTGATTGCTTTCAGCAGAAACGTATGTAGATTGACTAGCAGAATTGTTTCTGCTTCAGTAAGGTGTTGATTTGTTTTGTCTTAAGGAAAATTTAAATTGCATCGCTTATGTTGTAAATGGCATAAACTTTCTATGCTTGGGAACTTTATATAAGGAGCAAATGCTCCCTTGAGAACTTTGTTACTATTCTGTCCATTTTTAACTTTTCTCTGTTCCTGGATGTGTTTGTCTTCCAACTGGTTTGTTATGAGAGATCTGATTAGAACAGCCATGCTCCAGTTCAAGCCTCCTCGCTGGGCCTGTTGTGATGCCTCCCATCACTTAGTTATTCAATTTCTATCCTGTTCCTTTATATGTGCTGTGTGGACGCCTACTGTGGAGAATGCAAGAAAGTGTCAAGGCAACATGACAAAATATACTGTTGTCACCACAGAGAAAGAGTAGTGAGTCTAAATTCCACGTAAGGTGAGGACCCTAATTCCTACTGCTAACAATATTGACATTTTCCAGGAGCACATTAGCAGCTATGGCTTTCATCTCCCCTCATTTCTTATTGGTGCTCTGAGAGATTCAAGTAAGAAGTCAGTTCATATACTGCTACTCTTGGGGTTTATTTCCAGTGTCTCCAGATCAGAATTTCCAATCTTACCTATCATTCAGGTAAATAAGCAGTGACCCCGATTCTAATGGCCTTTGAATTAATAATGAAGGTTACCAGTATGTGGTTTTTTGCTGCTCTTAAGATTTGTGGCAAGTTAAATTGTTCTCCTTTGAACATGGTACAGTATAAATTGCAATCATCCTTGGCAATTGCTATTTGTGTTGGTCATCATTAAAAGACAAACATGACTGCTGTGCAGTGGTCCAAGTAATAACAGCCCAGCACTAGTCATCTACTTGAAAGCTAAAACATTGTAAGTTCCAAGCCTTGTATCAATTTTTGTCTTTGTGTTTTTTCTGGGATTCAACACAGTTGTAAGTATCCAGTAGTTTTGAATTATGAATCAAGATGAGCATGATGATTATACAAATAAAATGGGATTAATTAGGTTTTAAAACTATTTCAGTGTCAATGCTAATTCAATTTCATTTAGAAAAAAAAATATAAAGATGTCCAGCCTTTTCTATAGTTTGTTTCTGGCCTCCCTCCTGTCGGTGATTTCTTTCCTAGCTATTAAAAGCAGACCAAATGTATTTTTTTCCCCTCTTTGTTTCCACTGCGAAGGTGGATCAAACACAACTCGCCACAAAAGTTTAGTGGATTCAATAAGGGAAAGAATAAGGCTGAGTGAAAGATAAGTTAGGAAGCACATTTTCAGTCCAGCACGGAGGCAGCTCCTGGAATAATTTTCAGCAAAGGAAAGGAGAGGGTGCATGGGAGGAGATTAGAGGCCCTCTATGCATGGAGCCTGGGACAGGCCATCATTCATCATCCCTGTGACAGCCCTCTTTCTCAAGAGAACCCTTTCCTCCCCACTCTTTACATTTCTATGAACCCCAGCATTTGTGGTGTGGGTTTTTTTGGTTTGGGTTTGTTTTGGATTTTTTGTTAATTCACAGGCTTCCAGGGTAGGTGTACACTGGAAAGGCCTTAGAGGCAGGAGATATAGAAATCTGACAAGAGTTACTTAATATTAATTTTCTGTTGCTCCCCCTCAACACACAATATTAAGGCAAAAACGATTTCATTTTCTCCTCAGTCAACTGAAACATATTCTCTTCTGTGATGCCAGCAACAAAATGTATTTTCCAAGTTTAATTAGCAAGTCAAGCAATAACACAAATGCTTCTGCAGAATTTTGCTGAAGGTTCTCTATCCTCAGTTGAATAACAAAGGTCTTCAAGAGCATGTGCTTCAGTTTTTGTCATTTGCAGAGAGCATCCATTTAAATCTTTTTCTGGCTTTCACAAGTAAGCTGACTGATAGCTGGTTTGTTCTCTATTTCAGGTCGTGGAGACTAATTTGGTTGCTTTTGACTGTCACTGGATCATTATAAATGAGGTAACTGTCAAGTGAACGTTGTTGTGAACCATGAATCCTGTTTTCAGGCTTACTGACAATATTCATGCTGATCTTGACTTTGCCAACAGGAAGCAGTAGCTACGACAAAGTTCAGGCATGCTGCGGGAGTGGATGGTGCTTAATAAAAATAGAATGACAAGTTCTTGGACTTCGCTGTTTTGTCTTGTCTATTTTTAAACAGCAGTCCTTCAATGAATAAATGGAAAGTAAAATGAAAAAAACCTTTTCCTTCTGAGTGTCTTGAGATTTCATATTTGACTTGAGCTGACTAGTTTTAGAGGATCTTTTTAAGGTCTTTTTTCATATGTGATCTTTTGTCATGGAGTGCTTGTGTTTAGTTTATATTTTAATGATTTTACTTAATAATAAAAATAATAATAACAAAATCCTATCTTTCCCTTTCCTTTAAGAATTCCCCTAGAACTCAGTCATGGTTGATACCCAAACCTATTGATGTTAGTGGGAGGCTTTTTGGTGGACTTCTGGATCGGGTCATGTATGAATGTTCATGAAGGGAAAAAAGGAAGAATGTTAAATTGAGATCCTGTTTTTAAACTGTGAAATAGGTTCTTCCATGAACGCTTGTCAGCTAAAATATGACAAGTCGATATGTGAAGTAGCTTTGCATATAAAACATTGAACAATGTGGTTGTTTTTAGATTTGATGGCATTCAGATTTTTCTTTTGTTTTATGAAAAGCAATTTAGCTCCAGAACGGCTGAATTCCTTGGGGACATAACTCTCCCGTAACATGTAGATCATGCAACACCTGTATATTCTCAGGATATAAAAGATTGCTCGGATATATTGCTTGTAAATTCCAGGCCTACTGTCTGGATTTACTGTGCACTTCTGTTTTCATACTTAACTACTAGATTTTCATTAGTACAGTGTGCTAATAATGAGGTAATTTAATCCAAAGCATTTTTTTCAAGGTTATAGTAAGGTATAATGTTGTTGCAGTGGGATTGTACTCTGGCCTACTCATTTAAACAAGTGGATTTTTAGCCAGTTTACCCTGGAGAAAATTATGCCTCAGAAGGTGCTGTGAAGACAACCCAGGTCCAGCAGAAATTATTGGTTTGGGCCCTGCGTTGCTCCTGACCAGTAATGTGTGTGTTTACCAGCACTGAATGAGGTGGGCCTCGCTGGTTAAGAACCCAGCTTTAAGCTACAGACAGTCATGAGAACAACATACGTGTTTTCTTTTTCCTGTCAGATTAAACTAGAATTCACTTGTAGCGAGTGGAATCTTGAAGTAGAGTGTTCATCTCTATGCTTCAGAGTTAACAGTTATTATTTTAAAAAGAGCATTAACTAAATCTAAAGCAGTCCACCATTAACCTCTGTATCAATAGATTAGACAACAATTTCTTAGGCAGGGCCCAGATATTGGCTTGCTGTTCAAGTTAAAGACACTGCCACTGGTTTTTCATTTTAAATGTTATTTGAATCAAAAGTTCAAAAGAAGGTGCTTGGTTTTAGCTGTGTCAGCTCCTCCACCCTCAAAAAGCAAAATAAAACTGAGGATCCATTCCTAATATACACACTTTCTCTTTGCTTTTTATTCAGAAATTAGTGTCTCTGTGGAAAAAATTCTGCTTTCTGAGCATTGTTATTTGCACATGGCAGCAGATTAAATGGCACAGCGATCAAAGTGGTTACCACTCTAAACTGCCTTCTCCACTCCAAAACTCTTCCTCTGGGCTGTGGTCCCAACAGCCAGGAAAACTGAATGATGTATGCAGAGAAACATACATGGTCTCTTCTTAGTTTTGTAGTCTTGTATGTGAAATGGGTGAAAGCCACAATTAAATTCATTCTGACAAACTGTGCTGTAAACCATAGTCATTAAAATCTCTGTGTCTTATTCAGTCATTCCTG